GGAAGAAAAGGGACCCAGGAGCCGAATTTCCCAATCTCTGCCCCATCCCCGCTCCAACCCCGCTCGTTCTGCAGCCAACTCCGCTTCCTGCAGCTCTGCTCCTCCTGCAAGAGCAGCTGTGTCAACATTTTTCCTGGTTTGGGATGAATTTTTCGGGAGATTCCCCATTCCGAGCCCAGCAGCGCTCCCCGGCCTTTCTCCGTTCTCTCTCCCTGGGGAATCGGGGAGATTTTGGGATTTGGGATTTTGCTTTTCACATTTGGGATTTTGATTTTTGTATTTTTGGCTGCTCAGTTCTCACCTTCAGCTGATCACAAATCTTGAGAAGGGAAAGGAATTTCAGCAGGAGCAGTTTGGAAGATTCTGCACCTGCAGCAGAAAAAAGGCTCCCGTGCTCCCAGAGCCACCCTTTTGCCACTATGGCCTAAAAAAATTGGGATTTCACATTTATTTCATAAAAAATAGGGACCCAGGTGGACAAAACCCTGATAAAAGGTCGTGAGGTTAATGGGTTTGTGAGAAATTATGGCTGTCGGGGAGTTTTCTCCTCTCCATCTCTTCCGTTTTTAACATTTTTGTNAAAAAACTTCACAGCCACAAATGAGTGTATTTATCTAATTAAAAGGAACGCCAAGATTAATGAGCTGCGCACACAAATTATGGCACAAGGCCTGACGTGAGGGGTTTGTCACCACTCCAGCCTTGTCATCAACATTTCTTTAAATACAGAGAGTTCCAACGGGATCAAAGGCAAGGAGAAAATATCTTCCTTGGAGAGAAGGAAGGATAATTCCCAGATGAGAAAAGGAGTAGGGAATGCTGTAATTTAGGAATAAAAACTACAGGAATGCAGTTAATTGATGGTGGTAAAGGCAGGAAAAAAAAAAAAAAAAGGGGAAAAAGAAGTTTGCATGGGAACAGCGAAAGAGAGAAAGTTTGGGGTTAATTTACACCATTTTTAGGTGTTGTGGGTGCCTGGCTTTTGGCCAGCATTCGAAACCATGACATTTTTTGGTGGAGAATGAGGTCAATCATAAGAACTTTGAAAAAAAGGATACAAATTGGGAGAAAACAATGGGCAAAACAATAATAAAGCTGTTTTTTTATGGTAGAGCAATAGTGATGTATCTGTGCTGTAAATGTGGTGAAGATTCTGGGGGTGGATTGGTGTAATTTTTCTTTCTGTTTTGTTTTTGGGAATATTTCATGTAGGAAACTTTTTCTTCTGTTTATTTTACTCAAAACTTTTTCTTCTGTTTATTTTACTCAATCTTTTGTTTGTGTTGCTGTAAGTAAAAGTGTACGTTGAGTGTGTGAA